TTTGCCTGAAACTGATCCCTAATGAGGGCGTTCGATCCTAAGGCCAAAGTGGGCATTAGGTAGAGAGGTCTGTCTTTTAAAAGAATTAAAATCACACAACATAAAATTAACCATTTAAAGTGTTTAACTTGGTGGCATTGAGTACAAATATAGTGCTGTGCAAAAAAACATGTCTACTTGGTACCAAAACAGTTCCATCAGTCAAAAGGACACCCTGCCCCCACCTTGAAGCTACCTAGCATCTCCTCCTCCAGCAACCACGAATCTGCTTTCTACTCCTATAGATGTCCCATTCTGGACATTTCTGCACATATATCTGGAATTATATATAATGTCACTTTTTATATCTAGATTCTGTTAGATAGGATGCTTTTCTGAGTGTCATAAATTGTCCTAGTTTGCTTTTCTGTTTCTGTGATAAAACACTGACCAAAAACAACTGAGGAACAAAAGGGTTTATTTAGCTTCCACTTCCATATCATGGCCCATGACTGATGAAAGCCTAGCCAGGAACTCAAAATAGGAAGCTGGAGGCAGGAAATGAAGCAGAAGCCATGAAGGAACACTGCTTTACCAGCTTGATCACAATGGCTTGCCTGCTGGCTCAGTTTTCTTTCTTATGCTATGTAGGACCATCTACAGTGTACGGGGCTCACCCACATCAATCATTAATCAGGAGAATGCCCCCCAAAACTTTCCCACAGATCAAGCTCATGAAGCCAATTCCCCTGTTAAGGTTTCCTCTTCCCAGGTGACTGTATCTTGTGTCACATATCATTACATCAAGCCTTTCTATTGCTGAATAATAGTCTGGTGTGTGGCAATAACATATTTTCTCCATTCATCCTCTACACATCTGTTTGTTAGTCATTTGTGTTTTTACTACCTCTTGGTAGTTGTAAATAGTGCTGCTATGGACACGGATGCTTTGAACTGAACACTTGCTTCAGTTCTTGGGAGTTTATTTTAAGGGGTGGGACTTCTGGGCCCTATGGTATTTCTATACTTAACTTTTTGAGAAAACAGTAAAGAGTTCTCTGATGGCTCTCCTGGGGGGAACCCTTTAGAATGTGTGCCAATTCCTGTGACTGATGTCAAGGAGTGAGGGCCAGGATCTGCATCCTTCAAGCCCCACGATGCCATATCCTAAAAGAACCGCAAAAGATATGCTAAAAAGCTACATGCCATGTGTTCTTATCAATATTTCCCTTTCCCCAGCAGGCGGTGAATGGATCTTCTCACCAATCTAGGTGATCTAGGCTGTGTGCAATAGATTCCAATTGCCAGAAGCTACATCTCAAGAGATTCAGTTTCCAGAGTCTCCAGATGCAAACGGGCAGTAGACGAAGGCACTTCTTGAATGCCACTGAGATCGAATACCCTTCTCATGGGTACATCTCCTGCCTGAGTCTCTTGGGAAAAGGTGTACTATGCTGAGGCCGAACCCACATGGCTGGGGTTCTACCATTTGGATGACCCTGATAACTTTTTACCCTTGGGAACTGGACTGTGTGCTAAGGCCACTGAGCCAAAAATATGTAACACTTAGCCACTCTGGACCTTCACTGTGGCAAGCCCTGGCGTGGGAGACAAGGATTCATTCAGTAAGAATATATTTACTCAGACATCAGCTTTGTCTCCATAAGAGGAGGAGGTAGACACTGAAGATAGAACTCAGAACAGCCAGACGAGACCTCTGACAGCATGAGCACTTTAATGAGCCTTCATTCAAGGATGAAACCTCTCCCCCTAAAAATAATGCCACAATGTGGTAGCACAGTATACCTACTTGACTGTATGTAATAAGAATGGCAAATGATATTGAAAGGTGCATAGTGACTGGAACGGTGAAATTCTGTGAGGAAGGAGAAAGTGTGCAGCCACAGTAGAAAACGTTTTGGTCATTGTTCAATAAAGTGAGGATTGAGTCATCACGTGATTTATCTCTTAGGTATATACCCAAAGTAATTGAAAAATTATGTACTCATCTTCATATCAGTAGCATTCATAGTAGAACAGGCAAGAGGTTAAAAAAATCCAAATCTCCAGCAACTGGTGAATGGAAAAAATGTGGTCCATCTATACAACAATATAATATCCAGCTAGAAAAAGAAATGAACCTTTGGTGCCTAACCCAAGTCAATTGGCCCTTTAAAGCATTATACTAAGCAGAAACGGCCAGACAGAAGACAGCCTAATACATGAATTCATTTATGTGTGATTTCCATAGAAACAGAGGGCAACTTAGAGGGTGCCAGAGACTGGAGTACTAAGGAATATGGAGTGCCTGCTTAATGGGTGTGGGTTTCATTTTGAAAAGATAAAAATGTCTTGGAACTAGATCAAAGTGATAGCTGCACAGCTTTGTAAAAGTATCAAATGCAAACACATTATATATTTAAATAGTTGATTTTGTATTCTGTGAATTTCATTTTAATGCAAAGTAAATGCATCACTTGAGGGGTCAGTTTTAACTCAGGGAGGTCAACAAAGGCCTCTATAAGGAAGTCACATTGAAGCAGAGGCTTGGAAGTAATGAGTGAGGGGCGCAAAGAGATGGGAGAAGAGCACCGTGGGTAGATAGGATGCAACAGAGTGGGAATTTCTCCAGCCAGATAGGAGAGACAGCAGCAAAAACACCACTCTAAGAAGGATAGGGAACTCATAAGGAGGTGCTGAATTTTCCCAGAGCCCCAAAGGCAGGGAAAGGATCATAGATCCCTGAGCTAAGTCATGAAGAATGGGCCAGCATTAATTGAGGGAAGAAAGAAAAGGGGGAAGGCATGAGTGTATTACCCCCAGGGATCACTTCTTCAACCCTCTTCAATGGATAAATGGGGAAACTGAGGCGCAGAGCAGGAAGACAGCAATCCCTCTGGCACAAGCCTCACAGAACAGAGTGGGGCAGTTTGGGGGCACTGGATTTTTGAGAACAGAGTTTGAATATGAGCTTCACTTTTCAAGACTTTTCTCTGTGGGAGCTTGAGTTTCCCCATCTTTAAAATGATAATACTAACATGTTCTATCAGAGTCACTGTGAAAGTTAGAGGCTGTGTAAAGCAGAAAACTCGAATAGAAGTGTTGAACTATGTATTAGCCATCTTATCTCTTCCTTCCTTGCTCTGCAGCTCAGGTGACATAACTAAGTAGCCTTTGAACTGCAAGCACACAAGTTGTCCAGTGAAACAATACCTTCTGGAGAGGTAAATGGCCACTACATATCTCACCCAAATAGGATGCAGAGTAGTGGGCACCAAGTACTCACAGGGGCATTGAAGAGAATCAAAGCATATTCAGGCTCAGCAGTAAGGGGGCAAGCCAGAGAGCTGCAATCCACCTCTCAGCTTTCTTCTGAGTGACTTGGAATGCTTGTTTGACATGCACAGAAAACAATAACTAATGCCATGGTTTGGCAATTCAGATTGGTTTTGGTGGCAGCAGTTTCTCCTGCTCTACACTCAGGGTTTATTCTCCTTCAGTCTCTAGCAACTAGAGAAGCTCCAGATAGGCTTGCCAGAAAAAAGGCAGGAGATTGGTTATACTTGTTTTTTTTTTTAGATAAACAATGGATAATCTTGTAATGTATGCATGTTCCAAAGATTTCTTGAAGCATACTTAAACTAAAAAACTATTTGTTGTTTAGCAGAGCTTCATATTGAACTGGTGCCCTGTAGCCATATTTGCTAATGCTGAAAATACTAGCCCCAGCCAACACAGGGATAGTTAGACCAATGTCTGGCCACAAATGTGGGTTACTAGGCAAATCGTGGGGTAGGGGGCAAAGTCTCTGAGTTCAGTCCAACTCTGCTGAAATTGCTAAAACAAGGAGGCAGCCAGGAACACAGGATATTCTCAGTGCTGGGCCAGGAAGGCAGCTGATAGGATGGATCCCTCTCCACACCAGTTCTGAAAGCAATTGGCCTTGGAGGTGGGTACTTTCTGAACCACTGCCCAGATTATCAGCCCCTGCACCTTTCCTTCAGAAACATCTGAAGCCTTTAAGCTCAGCCCTGTCAAGGTTGGGGAACACTCCTGTGGAACATAGCCCCACATCCACAGCTCACTTAACAGGGTTTCCTACTGTCCACCGTGCACCAGGCTAGCTGTAGAGCACCAGGCAGGGGCACAGTAGTGAGCTCCCAGAGCAGGTAATCTGCCCTTGTTCTGTAGGAATCACTTTTGTGCCAGACACTCAGTACACGTCATTGTACACAGGCCTCAGTTCCCCTAATGGCCATTTAGGTCTTCCTATTTTACAGATACCAACAAAGGAGTTCAAGCATGACATAAAAGGGCACTAGCTTGAATAAGAAAGATCCCTCACCACCTCAAAAGTCGGAACTCTAAGTCCTCATTTGGTGGTACTGTGTGGGAAGATTATGGAATCTTTAGGAGGTGGAACTTTATTGGAGGAAGTATATCACTGGGGTTAATTTTTAAGGTTTTATAGGCTGGCCTAACTTTCGGTTTTCACTCTGCTTCTGATGTATGGATAAAATTGTGATCATTCATCTTCCTGCTCCTGTCTCCATGTTTTCACTGACGTCATGCTTTTTCCACCATAATAGACTCTATCCTTCTGAAACTGTAAGTCATAAAAGGGGGGGGGGAGAAGAACGTGCTTAATGAGCTTTTAGTCCTGGTGCTCTATCACAGTGAGGGAGAAGTAATTAATAGGATAAGTTAGAAAGACATGTGAGTTCTCTATAGGAACTCTTTACCTGCATAGATATTAAAAAAACACCCACCCTCCTTATGGAGTCTCCCAAACAAAGCATAATTCCACCAAAATCCAGTTTGGGGGACCAATTCTTTATTGGGCTTACTCATAAAGTGTGAATAAGTGTTTACTTACAAGAGCTTGGATGAGCACTAAGTAGGAAGCAACACCTCCAGAAACTCTTTCCCCAGCATGGATGATGACTTCCTAATAGCTGCATAGATGGAGTCCCTCCCTTCCATTAATCTCCCCCAGTCTGTATACTCTAGCATCTCGTGATCAGCAGGTGCAAACGGGAGTACCTGCAATCTCGGGTGAGTCTACCCCTTCTTCTGTGAGCGAATCCACTCAGTGAGTTGCAGCTGGAGGCTTGCTTGCAAGTAGGCAGAGGTGTTCTGATGAGGGAGAATAGGAGAACATTCTACAACAGGCTTTCCACCCAGGTTTCTCAGATTCCAGGAAATAGGAAGTGCCTAGAATTTGAACATATAACACAAGACGTTGGGGACATCTCAGGGAGGGAGGAGTCCACTGTCATTAGTGCAAGGAAGCAGGAGACAACGTAAATGTCGAGACCCAGACAGCTAAGTTTACAGAACTGACGAATCTGTGAGGCAGCTAGGTGAGGATGAATGGGGTAGAGCTAGCAGCTAATGTGACCAGCACAGAAGCCATGCCATAGCCCCACAGTACTAGAAGGATGAGCATCTGGCCAAGTAGGATGCTTGTTTTATCACATTGTTCAGACATTACCCCAAAGTAGGCCCTGTAGTACCTTGACTTAGTTACCTCCTTTTTCAGTAGAAGACAAAGCTTCCTCTTGTATGCCCTCTGCTGTGTTTGGGGTTACTGAAGTTCTCACAGTCCCTATGCCCTCTCCATTCTCAGCTCTGGTTCAGTGTCCCTCCCATCCTGTCCATATGGTGGTGGTGGCAGGGGAACCTGGACTCTAGCCACTTTCCTGACCCTGCCCCATCCCAAACTTCTTCACAGTTACACCCTCCCTGCCTTGCCCAACCCAGTCACTTGCTCCATTTGGCTGTAAGCCTAGGTCATAGCTTGCTTCCTTTTTAAGTGAGCCCATTTCTCCTCTATCTCAGCCAATTTTGTAGTCACCTCTGACAGAAAATGAAACTCTCTCCTGCTGGCTGCCTTGCCCTTTCCCTTCTCACTGTCACCCAGCCTGAGCTGAGGATCAAGAGCCTCTGAAATGCTAACAGAGGTGGGAAAAGAGATTATTGTGGGAAATATAATAGTATATTGATCAACTGTGTACACAACTGCTGGTTTATGGCCCACATGTCCACTGATAGCAGGGAGCAAAAAAGGTTAAAATCCCTGTTGGTAGAGACCCACCCTTCTAGTATGCACCAAGGCTGCCCAGGCCTTCCTTTCACAAGTCAGCCCCCTTTGAACTTACACAACTTACTTATTTATGCATGTGTTTGTTCACTAAGATATTTCTAGGTATGTAGCTCAGTTAATAGACTGTTTACTTAGCATAAATAAAGCCCTGGGTTTGACCCATAGCACTGTAGAAAATTTGATTATGGTAATACACACCTGCTATCTCAGCATTCAGGAAGTAAAGGCAAGAGATCAGAAGTTCAAGGTCATCATGGGCTACAGCGAGTTCAAGACCATAAAATTCTATCTCAAATAAATAATTAAATACATAAAACCAACACATAAACAAGAAAAAAAAAAACATTTCCAACTTGTCTCCATTCGTATCATGCACAAGGTAAAGACTGAGAATTTATCAGTCCTGGCCCCAGCATTTGAGAAGCTCGAAGCTCCACGGAGAGTAAGACATCAAAACCCATAACCACAGTGGAAGAGAGTAAAGGGTGTGCCTTGAGCATGGGTGTGAACATGGAGAACTACACTATCTGAGCATCCTACAGAGTGTGAGATTGGAGAAGGGCTTAGCTTCTTCTCCAAGCTGCCACCACTGTAGGGCAAAAGGGACAACTGGAGCAGGAAGCCAACCAATCACTGAGCACCCTGACTCTGGATCCAGAGACAGTGAAAGAAACACACCCTGGACCTGAGACCTGGTCCAGGGGAAAAAAACATCTTTATCCCTGAACCCAGGACTAAAGAAAGACATATGTCCTGAGTCTGAAACCAGTGCCAAAAAAAAAACCACTTTGTTCCCTGGTCCTAAGATTAGAGTCAAACAGCCAAAAAAGAACCAGTGAAAGAAATACAATTTAGTCATGAAATGACAGTTATCTCTTCCCCTGACCAACTAAACTAACCAATCCCCGAGAAGGGAAAACTAACCAATCCCTCTTCTCCATGGGAAAACTCCACCTAAGAAGCCCTATGATAAGCCTCTCTGCCTATTCAGTTAGAGGCTGCCACTTATCCCTCCCTGACAGAGGTGGCTACTCACCTTCCTTTCAAAATAAATATCTTTCTCAAAAGAGTCTTTGGTGAGCAAAATAGAAGAAGTTGGCAGGGATGTCTCTTAGGAGACCATCCCCCACCACACCCCAGCTTCAGGTAGCCTGGCTTCCTGATAGTTAAAACACCTTTCCTCCAGAGCTGAGCTGTCCCATTGCAGCTCCAGCCTCCAGAGATGTTCTTATGTGACTCTACCCCTCCAGATCTGTCCTATTGTGGCTCTAAGTATAGCCTGGCTTCCTGAAAAGTCAGGATATCTCTGCAACTCCACAGCTGTAAAACAACCTACAACCTGCAGTCAGTTCACTGGTCTCTTGCCCAGCTGGGCTTTAACTTGCTGTCTATCCCAGGAATCCTTCCATTGGGTGTGAGAAGATAGGTGCCCAGTTACATCTGAATTACAAACAGTAAGACAGCTTGGGTAAAAGTACAGTCCAAACATTGTACAGGATATAGTTACACTTAAAAGTATGTTTGTTTGTATGATATTCAAATGTAACTTAGCATGCATTTTTAATTTTTTTTAATTATGGAAATTTTGTGGACAAAGAAGGCTAAAACTAGGATAAAATAGACTAAGGTGAACTTGTTTGGCAACAGTGGTACCCTATTTACCAGGTTTTCTCAGATAAAAAGCACCTGGAATTCCTGTTAGCAATTGGTGTCCAACCTGTTCTTTGCTCAAGCATGATGAAGGGGTGAACCTGTTTGATAAAAGCAGGGAGAGCAAAGGGGCTCAAGGCCAGGTGTAGAAATGCATGCTTGTAATTTCAGGGCTCAGGAAAAGCAGGAGGATTATTGAGAGTTTGGCGCTAGCACAGGCTGCACAGCAAAATCGTCTCAAAAATAGAAAGAAATTTAGCTGTTACTCAAGTGGAATCTTCATTCTTCCTGGCTAGTGTTTATAGTGCTAGAAGAAGCTACACATGCTACTAGAGAAGAAAAGTACTCACTGATCTCACCAGCTATGAAACCTAGCTATAATAAGGACTTATCTGGCAAGATACGCCCCACCAGTGCAAGAGTGGTACAGATGCCATGGGAGTAGCCAACCACTTTTAACAAATTGATTTTAAGGTCTGCTCTATGAGAACCCACAGTTTAAGGGGAACCCTACTATTATTACACTGCTAAATGGATACAGCACTAAAACAATTTCTAATTAGTTATTGCTGTACTCTCATCAAAAATCCTCTTATTAGCAGATACCAATTAATACAAAAACCCACAACTTGTCAGTATGCAGAGAATAAGAGGCTGAGAGGTTCTCAGTCCTAAATGGGACAATTACATTGCATTCCTTTCCTCAAGGCTCAGGAATCGACATGGGAAGAGTGTAAGAGCTAACTTTCAGGAGCCTGAGAACTCTCAGAAGTGGTGGAACATATCATGGTATGGGCAAGCTATGGCTGCCTGTGCACCTCCCCATAAAGATGAGGCAGTGAAGATTCCTAGGGTAAAGCAGAGAAAGGCAGGATCTAGAACCTGGCCAGGGGTCAGCAGAGGGACAAAGCCTGGAGGGATTCAACTAATACAGAAACTCAAGGTGCCAGAAGAGCAAGCATGACCCTCAGGAACAGCTGCCTCAGTCTGAGTTACCACACCTCATTATGTTTTGAAGAAATTCTGCCAACCTTTTCTAAGAAACATAAACTGAACAGATACATTGTAAATCATTCACATCTGAGCATTTCTACAGAGGGCTGAGCATTTGTCCACCACATTTAAGCAACCACATCCCATATCCAATAGCCCTCTAACACCTAGAATTACCAAATCAGCATTTACTTATTTATTTATTAACTCATTTATTTGCTTATTTATTTATTTATTTATTTATTATTTTAAAGGACTTCTCTGAGTACAGCCCTAGCTGTCCTGAATTCACTCTGTAGACGAGGCTGGCCTCCAACTCACAGAGATCCACCTGCCTCTGACTCTTAAGTACTGGGATTGAAGGTGAGCACTACATGCTCAGAATTTATTTTTGAAAGTTAATTTCACTCCAGATCTCATGTAGCCCAGGCTGGTCTTGAACTTGCTATGTAGCCAAGGATTAACTTTTATCTTCCCATATCCATATCCCAAGCCCTGGAATTACAAGCAGCATGCATCACTATGCTCCCAAGGTTTTGAGCAAGTTAGACAAGCACCCTACAAATTGAGCTACATCCTTAGCCCATTAGTAAATCTATATAATGTTTGGGGGCATTTAAGGAAATCATTTTAAGGTATAATACCCTCCTGGGACAGGAAGCCTCAGGGATTGTGGGACCAATACCTTCTTTTCAATGTCTCAGTTTCCTGTAGGAATTGGAATCCTGAGAAGCAGTCCATTGGTCTTAGAAGCAGTAATGAATGCAAAGAACAAGCAGCTGCTGGGTGGGGGCTGGTGTCATAGGGGAGTCTGCAAAAACACAGCTGTAAATGGGACATAGTGGGCAAGGAACAACCAACCATAAAGGCTTTGTAGTCCAATAGCCCTAGGTTCAAATCTCTGAGATACTTGAAAGCTATGGGATGTTGGGAAAGTCGCTATACATCTCAGCACTTTCATCTTCTCATCTCTGAAATGGATACACTTGTCTGAATTTTTCAGGGCAACTGTAAGAGATCAATAAGATCATTATAAGTGGAAAGCTAAGCTAAGCTAAAGTTCCAGAAAATGGGAAACCTTGGCAAGTTAGGACCAACAAATATCTCTAAGACCTGATGGGATAGAATTTGGGACAATGCACTTTGTTCACACAATTACCCCTCTTCATGCTTCACTGACGTAGAGTTATCAAGACTTTCCAAAGTCCCACAGTAGCTCCCGTTCTTGAAATGACCACAACTCTTGGCTACACTCCAGTCCCATAGGCCTCTAGAGACTGTAACCAGAGGAGTTCAGAAAACACATTAGAGGAGATGGAGGGATACTATTTTCATTAATGTTTTTCCACAAAAGGTGTGCTGCCTAGCCTAACTTGGTTTGATTAGCATAGACAAACGGCCAGAGCTATTGATGCAATCTATGTGGATGCAATCTTTCTTGGCCTTGAAAAAGGAAGAGGAGGAG